TCACAATATAAAACATTTGATATCCCATTTACTGTCATTAGACAACAGATAAGCCATCAGCCATGATGATGATGGTTGTGACGATTGTTTTTGTTTGATAATGATGACTTACAAGATGGTTTATTTACTGATTAGAGCTCTCAAGAACTGCCGTCAATGTTGTGCTTTGCCTCTGTGCAATGCCTGTCAGCACCTGTGTGTCCAATCGGACTCAAAGCTGATCGTTTGCTCTTACTGACATTGTTCCCTTTTTTCTAGATCCTTGCTTCAGTTGTACTTACTCTCTGATGTACGTCGGTTTGGATAAAAGCGTCTGCTAAGTGAATTGTAGATTTGTAGAATTGTAGCCACAACCAGACTTACATTTCCTAATAAAATTGAACCTTGAACACATAATTATGATCTTACTAAAAACCTTCATTCTCTTCAACCTGAAGGTGACATCTGAGGAAGGTGGCTGCTCTGTGGATCTGGAGGATGAGATAGCGTTGTCTTTCTTTTTGCTCCCTTTTCTGCTCCTGCAATTTCTCACATTCTGTACAATCACAAATACGCAGACATTTCTCTCTCTATCACCTTGACCCCTGCCCAATCAGGAACGTGCAAAAACCCAACTTGTAGAAGTTAATGCCATGTTTAAAACATAATCACTTCACTGGCTCTTCACTCTGACACACTGACAGCTGTGTTAATTGGAATGCAGAAGCAGACCAGTGTCCCTGTTTTGCTTCTTTATTGTATAAAAGCTAATGAAAGTTAGTTATTTTAGGTGAAGAAGTACAAACAATACAGATGCTGTTGACATCCACTGCTAATATATGTCTGCAGCATCAGCTAGTCTTGTAATTGAGGTTGCTGTAGTCCTAGAAAAGTTCAGGCATTGTCAAGAGCCACAGTTGAACACCACTAAATTGTTATGCACAGCTAACTTGGCCGTCTATAAGAGTGTCTTAGCAAAAACCAAGAAGAGTTAGAAGATTAAATCGCTCTTGTTCCATGCCCTCTGTACCAAGTAAATTAACCTTCCTAGCACAGCCTGTGGCTTTAGAAATGCAATGCTAAGGTAACAGGCCCCTTTTCACGGCCTCCAAGACGATACCCCAAATCAGGGGCGGCTGTGGCTCAGTTGTAGAATTGGTCTTTTCTCAACCGGGGGATTTGAGGGTCCATCCCCCTGTCACAAGTTGGAGTGTCCTTGGGCAAGACACTGAACTCAACAAGTTCAGTGTCTTGTGTCAAATGGATTTGTTAATACTGATTGATATTTACATCGCAGCCTCTCAGCCAGTGTGGGAATGGGTAGGTGTAGTAGTAGTAGTAGTAGTGTGACCAGCTGTGCAAGCTAAAGTCCATTTACCATTTAATATGTCAACTAGTGAGATGTTGGTTAGATTTAGCCTTTGGATGCTCATCTTAAGGCCAATAATGAAACTTCCTGGTCTTCTTTTTCTAGATTCAGAGCTTGAGTTCAGACAATGCTTGATAATCATTTATTGATAATGACCACACAGCCAAGGTGAGTTGAGCTATCCTGCTAACAATATGCTTTTTCGTTGTGTTGTAGCTAAACGCCTAATCAGCACTTTGATTGCCATCAAACAAAAGCAGATGCAAACATCACATTTTTCCCACTGTTCTCCACGACAGATTATTTTCCCTGTCTCATGATGCAAAAGCAATAAAGTTCAGTTCATTGTTGGCTTTGAGAGGTTTAAGTGCTCAGGTATTGAGTGAATTATAACCATAAAAATCTCGAGTACCACAGCAGACTGCTGGTAGTAAAATGATTTTATAACACCAAAAACATAATTGAAGAAGTAATTGGATTCATGTGTCAACTTAACCTGAACGTTCAGAAAATCTCTAACCTATTCCTTCTTAAATAGAAGTGCAGCACAACAGCTTCCAGCTTGTGGATGCTTATGATTAATGCTCCTGAGTTTGACCTCATGCAGGGATTTTAAGAGTCAGAGTGGTAAAGTACAAACCGTTATCGCAATAAAGCGTGTAAATAAGTGTTGTCACTGAAGACAGAAGCTAAAAAAATAAAATAAATCACAGCCTGACCTATAAAGATACATCCTGGGTTATTGTTTGTGCAATAGTTTGTCCCTTTACATCATTACTGTTTCACTGTAGCGTGCTGCTGCTCCTGCAGAAAGAAAAGCTCTTACGTTTGGGAAAGATGTGGAAGGAGTGACGCAATAATTCACATGAACACTAAAAAAAGCCGTCATGCCTTCATAAAGATTTAACACTGAGCTGTTTGAAATGTAGCTTTTATGTCAAAATGGCCAAAGATGTTTACAAGGAGGCTCACTGAAGCTGAGTCACACAATTATTCCTCATATGTATATGAAAAAGGGCTGGGCAATCAAAACTGGAAAAATTAACCTGCACTCATAAACACAAGACAGGCAGCAACGTTGTTCATCAATTTTCATACACACACACAAGATACATGACTGTTGTACATTAAAAAGACATTAAATAATTGAAAACAGTAAATATGTGTCACACAGGGGACCTGGGGGGACATGAGCTAGGACTTGAACCTGTCCTGGGTGAAAAGTTGTGTGTTATTTGTTCTATCCATCGGCCCTGATTGATACCTCAGAACGACTCGTCTATATCATCACTACGAGCAGTTGCCTTGAGTCTAATATAGCTGCAGCTGGGTTGACTTACAGTAAGTTGAAAGCCTGTTGTGTCTTGATCAGACGCCAAAAGGTTTCTTGTGCGTGTGTTTGAGATGCAGTTGGCTGTGACAAACTGTGTTTTTGAACATTTGGGGAATAAGAACAGGCGGATTGTTTAGGTATGAGGACTTATTGGACCTTGGACAATCTTTTTTAAATGTCAAAGTGGTGCATGTACCACTGCCACAGGGAGAGGCCGAGGCTCAGAGGCAGAGAAAAACACCATATGGCCTCAACAGAAATGCTGTGCACTTTAGATACTGCCAGTAATGTGCATGATTGCCAAATAATACCCCACAACAAATGGGATATCAATGTTTCCTTTAATTTGGCAAATAATAAAAATAGCACTGGCCTTAAGGAACCGAGCAGTTTTAATTTGAGGCTTGGCCTGCTCTTTCTCAATAAGTCACACGAGTGCACTTAGCTGAAGTATAACCTAATAAACTTTCACTCTGTCCTGCTTGAATCTTTGCTTCCTCTTCACTTTTTATATCTTCCATATTTCCCCTCCCACGCCCCTGCTCTGTTCCTCCAGTGCTTCCCCTCTGCCTTTCCGTTTTTCATGTTCCCTTTTTTTCGCCCTGTGTCTGTCATTTCTTTCATTTTTTTTTCATTTTTTTTTTTCTCTCTGGCTCTTCTCTCCTTTCTCTTGTTTCCTTTGAAGTGCTAAACAATGAGAGGGCTACACTCCCTGTTAAGCTCATAGGGAAATCCAGGCTGAAGCTGCATGGCACAGTGCAGCGCAGCAGAATCTTGTCCTCAGAAGCAAAAGGAGGAAGAGGAGGGGTGGGAAGCATGAGAGTCACGGTCAGCATGCGAGGACAAAGGCTGCACAGTGCCTTGATCCTCCAAGCCGTCGCAGACAACATAAGCGCAGCATGGCTGATGAAAGCTACGCCTAATTTGCAGAGAAAATTCTGTCTCTCTGATTGCTACACCTAGACAACTGACCATTCCTTGTCAGCATGTGTATGAGACGATCAGGGTTTAATTACAGAGACCAAGAGATTTGCATGTCAAGACCCCTCTGACTATAATGATTGAGTTAAAGGATTTCATTAGTCCAGCATGTCGGCGCAGAGTAGGAAGACAATCACTCGTCCTTCCATTGTCTTCTCTCCCCCACTCTTTTTTTTTTTTTTTTTTGGAGCATGCAGGCACAGACACATCCATGCAGTGATGAATGCTATTCATTACTAAAGGATGGAACGGGAAATGAAGCGAAAATGAGTGCTTTGGGAAGCAATGCGTGACTGGGGCATATACTCTTCGTCTGCAGAGGCATCTGAGACATGTGTTTATCCACTCCCACATGTTTCCTTGGAGCAATATCTCACACTTACTCACATTATGCTGCATGCACCTCCCTTTGAAATCTGATGCTGCCTCACTCTCTCCAATTTCCCTCTTCTTCTTTTTTTCAGGTCTCTGTCTTGTCTTTTTCTCTCTATATTCATACACACCAATGCCAACACAGCATGATGGTCTTTTATGTGGGCCTTGATACATTTCCCGAGCAAATCTGTCTTATAGAGCCAGCTCAATATGTATAATTCACCCTCCATCAAGCAGCCTTAATGCAAGCAAATGCTTTTTCTCTCCTGCATAGTGACATGACTGATTCCACGTGGGGATTTGTGATGACAACTTGACATTTGGTATTTATTTTAATAAATCACGCATCTCACTGAGCTCGTATCTGCGTAGACATAGTAGATGTACCACATTTATGCTTTCTCCTGCAAAAAAAAAAACCCTGCAGTGGTGTTTTCAACACTTTGCAAAGCATGCTGGTTCAGGATTGATTCGTTCTCTGTGGCGCTCCGCAGTTTCATCAAACGAGTGTTTAATTTGTTTGATTACTTCAATGAGGATCTCAAGTGTGAAGGTCTCTTCATGCTGCTGGAGTTATATGAAACTATTAGAAATGCGGTTCGATCATTACCAAGCATTTACTGACATTTATTTTAGAGCAAATGAGATGCTGATAGAGTGACACATTAATGTATTAATACAATGATTTGACAAAATGTATGTGGCAAAAAGCGAATCCATGGAGCAGAGGAACTCAGGCGTTTGTGGGTCAGTTTCTGTTTGCATAGTGAGGCTGTGAGGTCCAAGAGGAAATTTAGTCGATTAGATGGGACATGATCTGCAAAAGAGATAATGCACCCACACACACACACACACACACACACACACACACACACACACAGCATTAGGTAAGTGTGTGCACTGTGTTAAAGGTGACTGACACATGGTTTCATATGGCTAATACTTTCTGTCTTTTGTCTTTTATAGGTCTTTGTGTGTGTGTGTGAATTCAACTAAAGGGCGAGATGTGGTGTGATCGCAGGAACTCAAACCAGGTATGTTTTTATTTCAGGTTTTATTCTTCTGGATTGTTTTTTTTTTTTACCCCTCCTTTTTCACCTGTTAAATATTCAACTTGTTTTCTTCTATTTTGGTGCATGCTTGTGTGCATTGATGTCTTTTGCACACAAGCAGCCAAAATAAAGCAGTGATTTTGTTTTCCGGCAGACTAGAGTGGGACATCCCAGAGACAAACTGGCCCAGACAGGATGGACTATTGCGGTTTTTGAAATTGCTTTGCTATGATTTATTGATGTCTCTTCGACGATTGGCCTGGACATTTGCTGATGGTCTGTGTCTCAGGGAAAATCTCGTGCCATCACAAAACTGCGTGTCCAGGGTCTGCTTAGTAAATATTTCAGGGGTCGCTCCATCAGGCTTGACTATTCCCTAGATAGTCTGAGTCTGGGTTTAGTTGACAGTAAGAATTTTACTAGTATGAGGGTTTTCCTTGTATGTAAACAACAGAGAGATGTAATCCATGGCATTTATTTCAGTTTGGATTCGTCGGACTTGCAAAAAATTCATATCGCAGGGAATTGTTTTGCTTAGCGGGAAAAATGGAGGCGTACCTATGTGTTTAAAATGTCAGAGGAAGATGTGAAAAGTTCTTGTTGGCAAAATACATGTTCAATTTATCCTTAACATAATCTCTGTTCATCATCTATACTATCTTGCAGTTTTTTATTTTTTGTTACTCAAAGGCCAAAACCAGCTGTGTGATAATAACGGCTTTTAAATGAACGAATCAGAGGTCATGAACACTGATTTCAGGGTTTTGTTGTGCATAGCAAAAGCAGCTGAACAATGTGCAAACACCTAGATCAGAGTTTGCCACACTTTCCACTGAGATTTGATGTAATTATTGATGAAATAATGGTTAAAACAGCTTTTTAAACGTGACATGTGTCGTGTGAAATCCTTGTGCTAAGTAATGCACAGACTCCATCCATTAAAGTGGATGCCAGATGCAAGTGCTTGGATTTTCGGCTAATGCAAATAAGCTCTCATATGTTGATCGGATGAATTTTCACTGCGTGTGTGTGTGTGTGTGTGTGACGTTCTGTTTTGTCTTTGCTTCATTCACACTCACACTTGCTGCTTTGTTGTGCAAACAGGAAGAGTCTGGTGTTGACTTTAGCTTTTTGGTCCCCCTCTTCTGAAAGTAACAGGACCAGCAACCTACACACACCACTGCACACACAGACTTTGTGTGTGAACTGTAGGAAAAGATGGAGTCAGAAGAGAGATGAGAGATTTAAAGAGGCAGCGATGCAGGAAGTGGGGCATGTACCACAGCATATGGGATCTACTGAGCGAGTGTTTGGAGCGTAAAGGGGAGTGGAGAAAGGGATGATGGAGTTTAGATGGTAATGCTCGTAGATCCCATGTTCGGTCAAGCAGAGACCCAGACTTCAGAACCACATGGTGCTCAGCTTGTGATAAGAATCCAAATTTGGACGTACAAGTCAACCCTAATATGTTTGAAGCTGTTGAATCTCCGCTGAGGTCTTGTTGGTTGCTCCAGCTCACTGGTCTTTGAATTGAAGGACTATTGTTTGCCTGCACTACATTGCAGAAAAGTCAGTGAAAGTATTTGTATTTGTTGTTTCATTCAGAAAGACTGTCGTGCCCGACTACTTGGCTTTTTCATTGTGTGTGAATATGTGTGTGATTGACTTGACGCCCCTCGACCAGTTCTACACAGACCTGCAGGTCATCTGGAAGTCAGTTTAACCAGTTTAAGGAAACGTTTAATGCAGCGGTGTTTAAGTGTAGGATAAAGTACACATACGAAAATGTATTTGTGTAAGCTATTTCACAGTGAAGGTCAGTCAGTCTTTTCTGAGTATTCAGAGAATGGCTGTGCTCTCTGGGTACCTCAGTTCCTGTTAGTCCTGTATTTCTAGAGCATGTTGCCACAACCCATGCTCCTAGAAATTCAACATTACTTAATTGCTTTTGAAATTGTAGGTAACGCAACATAATTGCTGCCTAGATTCTGGTCACAGAAAGCACTTTTAGCATGAATGAAACATCACATAAACCCTGCTAGGTTTGCGAGGAAGTTGCAGGGGTGGGTTGTGGGTGTTTTAAAGTTCAGGGCAGTGAAGTTAGAGTGCTTGGTTTGTATTCACACGCTGGTCTGTTATTAGATTGGGGCAAGAAAAAAAAAACATTTTATTATGGTTAACAGAATGCTCTGTTACACATATCCACACAAACTCAAATGATGATGTAGTCATGGTAAGATGATACTGTACCTACCAGCTCACAGCAGGGATAAAACATCGTTGACAAGATAGGACAATCAACTTCAGTAGTAGATAACATTTTTAGTCATATCGCCCAGCCTTAACTTCAGTTTCTTCTTGTCTTTTCAGATACTCAACATATTTCTGCAGTCTATTGTTTTGTCATTTATTTATTTTTTGTCTAGCAAGTTTTTAGTGTTTCTTTTTTTCATTTCAGGTCAAATATTGAATTGTTTTATGTAACTCACTCCCAAAAAACATCCAAGACTCCCCCACGCTCACCTCCTTCAAGAAATCCCTCAAAACTCACCTCTTCATCACTGCCTGCAACCACTGACTCCCACACTCCCCCCCTTACATTACTTCTTCGTTGTACTGCCCTGTCGTTTTTAGTTTTGTTTCATTGTTTTAGGTTTTTGTCAAAGCGTCTTTGAGTTTTCAGAAAAGCGCTATCTTAAACCAATGTATTATCATTATTATTATTATTATTATTTATCAAAGAGATACTAATGTAGAAAAACCAATCGAGTCGGGCATAAGTAATATTCAATTGTGTACTGGTCAGACGTTAAAAAAAAGGATTGGTGGTGTTGTTACCTTGATGGTCCGAGACCTTTTTACTTTAATCAAACAAGCCAGGAGGTGAAAAACACTCAGACTGGATGTGTTGTAGTTGCTAAAGTTTGATATGCATTGGAGTATTTTTGGTCTTCCGTTTACTGTGACTATCCTGGTGTCTTGCTTTATTGTGTCTACTCACCAATAAGCTGGTCTGTCAGGGGTGAAAGAGAATATTCTGGAGACAAAGAATGTGTCAAGTAATATGATGGAATCTTTGCTGCTAACCCCCCAAAGCTATGATTAGGGACAATTTCTAATACACATCATTTGGTGTTTGTGACAGCTGTCTGTCACCGCTCCTCTCTGCCTCCAGTGTTATCCAGACGTCTCAGCTTGCAAACTGTCCGTCTGCACGAACCTTCAAACCCAATCTCTGTCATGTCACCTCTGTCTGATCAGCTGTGTAAAAGACTTTTCTAAATTCATATTATTCATTGCTTGTAAGCATCAACACTCACACACACTTACAGTATGCTCAGGGAACAGGAAGGAAGCGAGCGCAGATATCAACTTGCCGCTGCCACTCGGGGGTGTTTGCAGGTGAAAATGACAGGATGGTTTTAAAGATGAGGTGTGTGCCTGGGAAAGACACAGCTATTATGCTCGTGGAAATAAAATGTCCTGACTGAAGTCTAGATGGAGAACATTGTAGGCTGAGCACATTTGGCGGAATTCTGTTAATCCTGAGTTTTCTTTCGATTTGTCATGACAGTCTTTTTTCATTTCTCATGAGCACCTACAGGGAGCCGGATGTAGTTTTCTGCATTCTGGGCAGGGCACACAGGTCAAGGTTTTTTTTTCTTCTTTTAAATCAATAATGGATGTTTTATAGCTTTTGATCTCTCTCCAGTCTCCACTTTGTATCGGCTGTTACTTCTTTATCGTAGCCCCATCTCAGCCCTATCTTCCTATGGCATCTACATCTTTATCTCCCGTGTCTTATCTGTAGTGCCAGACACAAAGAAATGCAATCCAAAAGAGAGAGAGAGAGAGAGATTAAGGTACGACAAGACTCCTCAATGAATTAGGAAGAGGGAAGAGATTAAAAATATATATGGTGTAAGAGTTTAAGAAAAGGAATTGCAGTATAATAAGGTGTTCTGCAGGTGGCATTTAGCTTCTATCAAGAAGTTAAAAAAAAAGTTTGTCTGTGATTTGTTTGTCAGTCGTCCTTTCCACTACAAAGCATGCAGGGGTGTGTCCAGAGGGTTGGCAGAAATATGATTGGCCACCCCAGTTGCTACTGCAAAATCCTAAAATATGATTGAACTGATTGCTGGTTATATAAAGTACGAGTCACCTGCCTTTAATCACACACACAAACGTGTACACATACACACAACGCTGTTGCAGAAACCCCGGCATGGGGTTCTCGAAGTAGTACCTTCAATTACGTGCTGTAGATTTGAAAAGATATTTCAATTGCAATGTCAATGCAATGCAGTTTTTTTTCTAATATTGTGCAGCTCTACATGGAATCATTTTCTATTTAAATGTAATTTATACATTTCATTAATATTTCACAATGTAAAAAAAGTAATTTTACAATAAGGCAAGATTTCCCTTGTTGATGCAGGTGTGATTTTTTTTTTTTTGCAAAGGTGTCTGTCCATATTCCTCATGACAAAACACAATGCATTTGAACTGTCTTGTTTTGGCTATGTATTGAGCTGCACTGCATGATAAAAGGCTCAATTGCAGCTCTGTGCATAAACTCTGACACCAATCAGCGTCCTCTCAAAGTGCTCCTTTTTCTCATAATTGATCCTTGTTTGCTCAAAGTGTCAAGTTCTGACGGATAATAAGCACTTGATTCGATCCGGTCCAGTTTTAAAGTTGAAAGTGTGTTAGTCGGGTGAGGGAATGGACCACTCTTCCAGAAGCTAATGGACTGTGTCGAGGTTGCCCCTGGTTATAAAAGTAATAACCTGTGGTAGCTGTCAAAGGAGCTCTCTCCCCCAGGTAGCCGAGGTACACTCAGATCATGAGAAGAAAAGGCAGGAAGGGGGTACAAAAAAAAAAAAAAAAAAAACAGCATGAGGGAACAGTTCTATTATAGGCCTCTGTGTTAGTTTCTATAGCCACCAGGATTCCTAGTAACTGATCTGGTGCTAGTTCTC